ATTGCATTTCTGAAGGAGAAAACAATAATACCCCCACTGCTGGGCATTTTCCATGCAAGACAATGCTGATTCTTCTTAGGACCCAAACAGCAATCCCTCTTTGCCTCTAGAGTTATCATTAGACTCAAATCCCAGCAGGCTTACTAAAGGTAAAGTGTGACTTAAGAGGAGGTGCTCTATACTCCAAAAGAACTACTTGAGTTTTCTAATTTATACAAGAAATCTGGGTATATGTGTGGGACTGGAGAGAAGAAATAATAGTGTAAGGATAAAGTTGGATTAGGCCAAATTTATTGATTATAGACTCGCCAAGCAGAGGGTCTTCATTTAACGTTGCAATTCAGATAGCTAGAAAAGGCTCTACTAATTTGAATGGTTGGCTGAAACATAAGCCAAAAGATGGTCACCATTAAGTGAGCTGGGAATGCTCAACTTCCTTTAATGTAGAGGAACAGATTAAGAGGCTTAAGAAGAATGGAATGTTAGAGTGCATGTGTCATTCAAGACCTTCTCATCCACACTGGGAGGGTACGGGTGACATATCTTTTACCATACTCTTTTTTTTTTTTTAAGATTTATTTATTTATTCATTGAAGAGCTGGAGTTCAGGCCAGAGATGGGGTTGGTGAGAGGACTGACCAGAGACAGTGGGGAACAGAACAGGCAGACTGACTGAAATACACTGCTGAGGGGAGCAGTGGGTGAGACAAGAGAGGTCTGCTGCGCCATGTGGGTAGCTCCCTGGCTGGGGATCAAACTCATGTTGCAGTGGCTGTGGCTAGCTTCATAGGTTGTGTCTTAAGCCCTTGCGCTGCCAGAGAGCCCCTCTTTTACCATACTCTTAGAAATAAATTTGTGTAGGGAGCCCTGGCATCCTTGAAGAACTCTGCCACCACTCTTTTCTATAAATCAGATCTCATAGTTGGAACCACTGATAGGAAAAACCTAAGCACAATGGGAGTAGTTACAAGGGGGTGTTCAGGGGCCAAGGTGAAACTCAAATGTCAAAGGCAAGGTGGGCATGGTTACTTTAATAGACAGTAGAGTCAAAGGAGTAATGACTTGTGCAGAACTACAGCACTGGCTAGTTAATCATGGCATTCCTAGAAATTAAATAGGAAGTCTATTAAATTTTCACTTGATGCATATAAATAGAAAAACTCTAGGTCAAGTCAAAAAAATCTAACTTGAATCATAAAAATCAAGAATCGTGGCCCCTCAATTTGCAGACATGAACCAATTCACAGGCCAGAACTTTTTAAATGAAGGGGAGACTGGACTTCTGTGCACTACCCAAAAATTATACTGTTAACCTTTCTCTTTGCCTTCTCAAAGACATAGCTTTTACAACGATAACTATGCACTGGGGAAAAGGAAATAATCAGATCTTTCAGGGATCACTGGACGATGGGTCTGAACTGACACTAATTCCAGGAGACCTGAAACACCACTGTGGCTCTTGAATCAGAATAGGGGCTGTGGAGGTTAGAACATGAATGGATTTTTAGCCCAGGTCCATCTTGCAGTGAGTCCAGTGAGTCTCTGAACCAATCCTATGGTTATTTCCCCAGTGCCCAAATTCATAACTGGAACAGGCATATTTAACAACTGGCAAAGCCCCCACACTGGTTCCCTGACTTGTGGAATGATAGCTAATATGGTGAGAAAGGCCAAGGAAAAGTTATTAAAAACAGCCTTTACCTAGAAAAATGGTAAATGAAGAAATAACACATGCCTGGAGGACTTAAAGGGATTAGTGTCTCCATTAAGCCCCTGAAAGATGCAGTGGTGGTGATGCCCACACATCCCTATTCGACACTCCTATTTGACCTGTGCAAAATGCAGGTGGATTTTGGAGCATAACCGTGGATTATGATGAATTTAAGCAGGTGATGACCACAACTGCAGCTGCTGCCCTCAGACATTGACACTCCTGGCTTCTGAGCCTTTGGACCCAGACTTACACCATCAGCTCCCCTGTTTTTCAGGCCTTTGGACTTAGGCTGAATTACACCACTGGCTTCCCTGACTCTCTATTTAGCAGATGGTAGATCACGGGTCTTCTCAGCCTCCCTGATCATGTGAGTCAATCCCCATAATAAGTCTCCTCCTCTCTGTGTTTTTATCTATAGTTTTTCTATATCTATGTCTACATCCTATTTTTCCATTTCCTTGGAGAACAAGCACTATAATGTATATATAATACTACTACATTTGGAAATCTATACCAAGTAAATTATCCCAAAGACAGAGAATCCTGTATGAAGGAAAATGTTCATTATAGCTTTAACACAAGTAAACACAGGGACATTTTGAAAGTTTGACTATGCATCTATTTGTTAGTTTTTGTTCTAAAGATAGCAAAACACACACACACACACACACACACACACCCCTACACACAGAGTTCCCAAACTAAAATCTGAGACCAGAAATGAGAATCTTAGGTTTATGAACTGTGAAACTTACATTTATCAGTAATAGTCAAAATTTGTCTAAATCTAAAGATCAACATTTATGCAATTCAACCACAGACTTATTTCTGGCATACTTGCTAAGATACCTGGTTCTCTAGGGCAATGGATATGCTCAAAATATATTAATAGCTGGTTCTTTCAGGACCAAACAGATTTGTTTGTGATTTCATCCACAGTTATTGACTCTCAACCACCAAAACCCCTGCAATTTCCTGAGTGATAAGAGCAATAGGAACATCTTTTATTATAATATTCATTCTCTTGTCCTCAGTTCCTAAAAATGCTTCAGCGAGTCTTAAAGGTGAAATGAATGTCTTGTTATTACCTTGTTTTAACCAGACCCTTTCAATAACTGAGTTTATGTTATGGTGTTTTGGAAAACATCGAAAGATGGGAGCTGGTTACGAGGGATAATCAACCTTGTCTAGTGTGTTGGGGCTTTCAGAGACACCCTCTGGGTTAGGGAAAGAGGGCTAGTGGGTGAATAAATCACCAACAGCTAATGATTTAATCAATCAAGCCTGTCTAGTGACATCTCCATAAAAACCCAAAAAGAGGGACTTCAGGAGTCTAGGATGATGAACCAAAATGCCTTCCACATGCCACGACCTGGACCTATCTATCTATTCATCTGGCTGTTGGTTTGTATGCTTTAATATCCTTTGTAATAAACTGGTAACCGAGTGAGTAAGTGATTTCCTGCGATCTATGAGCTGCTCTATCAAGTTAATCAAGCCCAAAGTGGGGTGGAGGGGACCTTTCATTTATAGCCAATTGGTCTTAAGCACAGGTAACAGTCTGGGTTTGACTTCTGAAGCAGTGGGTGGTCCTGTGGGACTGGGCCCTTAGTGTATAGAATGTGATATTTCCAGGTGGACTAAGTCAGAATTAAGTTGAATTGTAGGACACCCAGCTGGTAGCTCAAGAATTTCTTTGTGGTGTGATGGTAAACCACCCCCATGCACCCACAATGGAACTGGGTTCCAGAATCATAATAGCTATTTAGCCAAATCTTCTCAAAATACATTACACACTAGCCCTGCACTCTAAGAATAATTTAGAATATTTTTAATTTTAATCTTCTTTGATAAGAATGTTAAATCCATTCAATATACTGTTTGCTTCTTTAAATTACATTTTCAGAAGCACATGTTGGGAATATTTATGAAAATCAGTGCAAAGCAAGAGTAAGAGACTTATATTAGGACTGAAGTGGATTTCTGGATGATATTGCCAAGCTTTAAAAAGTGATTTTGGGGGCCTCCCCGGTGGCGCAGCGGTTGAGCGCTGGATTGCGAAGCTGCCAGCAGCCTCTGCGGCGCTGGTTCGATCCCCAGCTGCTCCCCGGTCACCGGAGGAGGGTCCCACATGGCGCGCAGACCTCTCCTGCCGCCCGCTGCTCCCCTCAGCAGTGTACTTCGGTCCTTCTGCCTGCTCTGCTCCCGGCTCTGGTGAGTTCTCTCACCCTCCCGCGCTTCTGACTGTACCCAGTGCATGTATAAACAAAAAACAAACAAACAAACAAATAAATAAATAAAAACATGAAAAAAAAAAAGTGATTTTGGTACATCCATTTTCCTTTTCCTTCCAACTTGGAACTCAATGTCTTATAGAAGACCAGTAGCTTGAGGAACAATTTCAACAAAACTTGTAGTGAACATGATTCTGGGAAAGGTAAGTATAACCAGAGTGAACTTTCTGAACCAGTGTTGGCACTGACCGCATTTCTTGTGTCATACATACTTACAGAGCTGTTCTTTACATCAGAAAAGACTACTGATTGTAGTAGTGCATCTATTTGTGATAATTTAATTGATGTTTGCATTCCCTAATGGGGCTATAAGCCCCATGAAAGTGGGAGCCACGACTGGATTTGTTCACCATTACATTCCCTGAAACTAACTAGTATAGTGGGTGCCCAATAATTTGGTCATGATTAACTGAAGGAACACGTAGCATAGCCAGAGCCTTCATTTCTGGTTCTACTGATGCTGTCTTGTGTGACCTTGGACAGAACTTCATACAGTCTCTGATTCTCAGATATCACATTGAGGAGCAGTTTTTCAACAAGACAGTCACAAAACGCTTTTCCACTTCAGACTTCAAATTGATTTAAATGCCAGGAATGTCAGATTAGAACTGATCCAGTAGAGAACTAATGTAGGGATGCCACGGCAGAGGTGTTCTACTAAGCATCTCCAGGAAGTCACAGGAATGACTCCTGAAGAAATGTGAACTTAACGGCCATAAGGTCTTTGGAAAAATTGTGAAAGGAAAGACACTTCTCATTAAACCCTGCTTTCTCTTCTACATCCCTTTATTGAAACCAATATAGCTCTACCATTGACACTACCTTGACATTTATTTTCTGCCACTCTGAGGAAATGCAGCTATGAGGATCTATAATGGAATGCACGAAGGAGGCAAATTTGTGCTGGTTGCATCAACTCTGTGCCAGGGAAGGACAGTTAGACTAACATTGATGGCTCAGGTCAGGATCATAGCTATTTAAGAACTGGCAGAGAGTCCTTAAGACACTTTGTCACCTGACACTGACCCTCAGGATGAGTCCTGTAGGGACAGTTCCCAAAGGCCAAGAGACCATTGCTCCAACACAGCAACCATTTGTCCTTTGTTGAAAACGTCACTGTCTTGTACATAGGAATATTAGACCCACATATAGGCTTTCACATTTCTCCAGGGAAACATTCCAACCTGCATAATGAAGACAGGATCCTTGCCACGAAACAGTGAAGTCCTTCATTTCCTGTTCCACCAACATCCCTGTCATAATAAAATCCATAGACGAATATTATTGTTTCCTATCACTCTAGGGGTAATACAAGAAGGAGGAACATAGGGAGCTATATCTCTTCGCAGAGCAGAGATAACATATCAAATGGTTACAGAGAAGGATCTGTGTTCTGAAAGACTTTCAGTGAGTCCTAAGAATCCCACTAACACCGAGCCCAAGAGCAGTGAGGTGGAGGAGGCAGGTTGCTGACACCAACGAACGTAGCTGGGAGCATAAGGCAAAAGAAAAATGAACAATACTGATCTTGGCTTATTAAAATGTTCTTATCTTGTTCCTAGTGACCACAATAAAAGGGGTCCCCCTCCCTCGCCTGAAGTTCAGTCTTTACCAATTAATTTATAGAGTTAAACTTCATCGAAGTAGAGTGAGTTGGAAAATGCCAATCCTGATGGCAGGAGTGTTCAAAGGATAGGAACTTGCTAAAATGGTAATTACACATGAATGAGTTTATCCCAACATTTGCTCAGAGGCAGGACAGAATGGGAGGCATGATGACACTGATTTGTTGGAGATGGTAGTGTGGTGAGGATAACCCGTGGGGAAAGGGTTTCATGACACCCCTCACCAGCTAAAAGTATCTCCCCACCCCTAGGCATTCTCTGAAAGTCATTTTTTATTTTCATCTTGTTATGATTATCTAAAATTTTATGTATGTGTTTAGCCCTCTTGTCTCTCACAATAATGTAAATTCTAGGAGGGCAGGAACATGTTGTCTTATTCACCAGTGTTATCACCAGTGTCTACTTGGTAGGCATTCAATAAATATTTGTTATAGAAATGAGCCCTAAGCTAATGAGGACCATAACACTTGCTCCTGCGTAATCATAATTGGAGGGCAGCTGTTAAAAGACCCCATGGCCAAGAAGCCTGTGTTGCAAGGAATTACCCAATAGCAAACAGGAATAGAAACAAACAGCAAATGGGAATTTCCAAATAAGCAATCAGTTGCTTAATTCTAGATAGTGGGGGCAGAAAGTATTAATAACACCTACATACCTGGGACCGCCATGTGGTAACCACTTTGAGAAGACCAGAGAGGAGTGAAGATAGGTTGATAACTCAGGTTGCCAAAATATTGTGTAATCACGATTCTTAAGGGATCCCACGCCAAAAGAGCCTTAAGAAGGAAAGAACAAATGAGTAAAACAGAACAAAATAGTAAGATTTTCTTTTTATTGGGGGGGGGTGTCAATTCTCTAATGGTGATTCTGTAAGTTATCAGGTACAGCTGAAGCTTGCAGCTCCCGATTATCTCTCCAGTTTTCCTATCTAAAATAAGCAGATCTGGGCCTCCTTGGTGGCACAAGGGTTAAGATGCAACCCATGAAGCAATCGCAGCCACTGCAGCTCGAGTTTGATCCCCGCCAGGGAGCTACCCACATGGCACAGCAGACCTCTCCTGTCTCGCCCGCTGCTCCCCTCAGCAGTGTACTTCAGTCAGTCTGCCTGTTCTGTTCCCCACTCTGTCTCTGGTGAATCCTCTCACCCCCTCACCCTTACCCCCCATATCTCTGACCTGTACTCCGGCTCTTGTATGCATAAATAAATAATTCTTTAAAAAAATAAAATAAAACAAGCAGATCTGATTCCTAAAAACACAATCTTGGAAGGGGTGGGGGGGGAGGCCGGGGACCGCAGAGGGGCAAGATCTGCCTAACTCCTGATGTCAACCCCTTTGAAGAGGGCTCTGAGCTTGGTGTCCTGCCAGGCTGGCGCTTTCCTAAAGCTGAGCCCAGCCCTAAAAGAGGGCAACCGCCTCCTCACAGGGGCTGTGAGCCAAAGTCCGGAGGCAGTTCCAGGAGGCCAAGAGCCCAGCGCTCAGCCAAAGGCCAAGGAACGGGGCGGGACCTCCGGACAAGCAGCCGGAGAGCGCGGGGCGCGGCCCTTGAGCGATCCGAGGCGCAGGGCGTTGGGGTCTGGGCGCCCCAGGCCATGCGGGTCCCTCGCGGGGCTGAAGCCTGCGTCTGGGCGCTCGGCGGCGCGCTCTCCCTGCTGCTCTTCGCGCTGCTGGTCCGCCAGCTGCTGAAGCAGCGGCGCCCGGCGGGCTTCCCCCCGGGGCCGTCGGGGCTGCCACTTCTCGGCAACATCTACTCACTGGCCGCCTCAGCCGAGCTCCCCCACGTCTACATGAGAAAGCAGAGCCAGGTGTACGGCGAGGTACCGCCCGGCGGGCCGCAGGCTGGGAGGGCCGTCGGGGGGCTGACTACCGGCCCTGCTCGAGAGGCTAGGACGCCCCTCCCTGCGCCGGCGGGCTGCCGGGAACCCGCCCCCCTCAGGCTGGGAGAAGAACCGGACGCCGCGCCCCAGGGGAATAGCCCTGCCCCCGTCCACCTCCCCGCCCCCCCCCCCCCCCCCCCCCCCCCCCCCCCCCCCCCCCCACCCCGTCCCCCCCCCGTCCACCCCCCCCCCCCCCCCTCCCCCCCCCCGTCCCCCTCCCCCTCCCCCCTCCCCCCCCCCCCTCACCCCTCCCCCCCCCACCACCTCCCCCTCCCCCCACCACCTCCCCCCCCTCCCCCCTCCCCTGCTCCCCCCAGCTGGGAGCCCCAAGCCCAGATCGCGTTTCCAGGGGCATTGAGTGGGGTAGGCCCCGAAGCCTAAGAGCGCTCCTGCGCCTGCGCAGTGGGACCCAGGCCCCCATGAGCCTACTCTGTGGGAAGAGTCCCGGGCTGAGTTTCTCAGCTTTGCGGGGCTCCATGTGGTTTGGGGGGTAGGTTCCAACGCGGGCGGTTCCTCAGGAAAATGAGGTCCGAATACAGGATCTAGTTAATGGTCCCTAGGACTTGCTTAGATGTTTGCATTTGAGGAATGCTGGTCTAGCGTTTGCTGTGAGGATTAGAAACCCAGGTGATGACCCCAAGAGTGGGCTCTGGGAAATGGTGAAAGAGAATGAATTAGTAACTAAAAGTTGGTATGGAGGCCTACATTGCTGAGGGAGCAATGTCGTCCTTGCTGGCAGGAGAGTCCTTCACAGTGAACGCTGTCACATGTGGACTCTATTTGTTTTTAAAGAGTTACTTATGCATACAAGAGCTGGGATACAGCCAGAGGTGTGGGGGGGGGTTGAGAGGATTCACCAGAGACAGAGTGGGGAACAGGACAGACAGACTGACTGAAATACACTGCTGAGGGGAGCAGAGGGCGAGACAGGAGAGGTCTGCCATGCCATGTGGGTAGCTCCCTGGCTGGGGATTGAACTTGTGCTGCAGTGGCTGCAGACAGCTTCATAGTTTGTGTCTTAACCCCTTGTGGCTCCAGGGAGGCCCTCCACTACTACTATGAAAAATGAAAGCGTCCCATCTTTGCTCAGCTAGTAGTCACTCTCTTTGTACTAAAACTTTCATTGCCACTTTTGACTTATACCACTGCCTGCCGCAAGCAGTTTTCAGATCGCTCCCTCATCTCCTTTGGTCCCTTTCAGTGGTCCAATAATAAATTGACATGAGAGAGATAAGCAAGAGAAAACACAAATTTAATTTCTTGTGCAGAGAGATCCATAAGATATGGAATATAGGGAATGGCCAAAACAGCCTGTTTATCTCGCTTTTAGACAAAGGAGCAATAATTCTGTGAGGAATAGACAGGACAAAGAAATTCTTGAAAGTTTTGGTTTGGATAACAATTTAGTGAACTCAGCCGAGTTTGTTTACAGTTTCCGGTTCTTGTCTCTCATGGTAAGGATGTCTCTTTGTCTCTGTGCAAGAACTCCCTGGGCTTCTTATACTTGGATGTTTGCTTTCTTCTTCATATTAGGGTAATTTTCAGTAATTATTTCCATATATATATATTTAAAGTTCACTTTTTTAAGATTTATTTATTTATGCGTACAAGAGCTGGGGTACAAGCCAGAGGTGTCGGGGGGTGAGAGGATTCACCAGAAACAGTGGGGAACAGAACAGGCAGACTAACTGAAACACACTGCTGAGGGGAGCAGCAGGCGAGACAGGAGAGGTCTGCTGCGCTATGTGGGTTGCTCCCTGGCCAGCCAGGGATAGAACTTGTGCTGCAGTGGCTGCAGATAGATTCATAGGTTGTGTCCCAACCCCTTGTGCCACCAGGGAGGCCCTCAAATATAATTTTCTGGCCCTTCTCTTCTTCTAGAACCCCTATAATATGAATAATGTTCCTTTTGATGTTTCCCAGACGTCTCTGAGGGTGTCTTCATTTTTTTTTCCGACTCTTTGTCATTTTGCTGCTCTGTCTAGGTGATTTTTATTACTTTTTTTTCTCCCCAACTCACTTAATTTGTTCCTGAGTTATCCAGTTTACTCTTGAATACCTTTATTGCATTTTTTAGTTCTATTATTATATTCTTCAGTTCTATGACTTCTGTCTGGAGTTTCCTTAATTCTTCTAGTTTACCCATTCTTCTCCCAAAAATCACTGGTTAACCATTATTTTGAACTTGTCCTCAAGTAGTTGTTCATCTCTGTTTCTTTAGGCTCTTTTTCCAGTTTTGTTTGGCTATTTCATTTAAGGTACTTCTAAGCCCCATTTTTTCCTGATTCTCTGGGTTTACTTCTGTGTTCTAGGTGACACTACTACCTCCTCTAGCACTGAGAGCTTCATCTCTTTTTATAAAGAGTTTTTATCTTATTTATTCATACAAGAACTGGGGTATAGGCCAGAGGTGCAGGGGATGAGAGGATTCACCAGAGAAAGAGTGGGGAGCAGAACAGATGGATCCACTGAAATACACTGCTGAGGGGAACAGTGGGTGAAACAGGAGAGGTCTGCTGTGTCATGTGGGTTAGCTCCCTCGCTGGGGTTTGAACTTATGCCCAGTGGCTGGTGATAGCTTGATAGCGCTGCAACTTTGACCCCTGCACCACCATGGAGGTCCGTTGAGAGCTTCATCTTTTGCAGGTATTCTTGCATGGCATCTTGTAGTTTTAGAGATGCCTTACCATTTGTACTTTGTGCCCACACTATGGGTTTCTTCCTTAACAAGATATTTCTTCATACATTTTTCCATTTAACCTTGTTTATCTTTTCTTTTCAAAGATCTTCAGTTTAGATCTTGGAGGCATATCAACTGTGGTTCTAAATGGCTATGATGTAGTAAAGGAATGCCTTGTTCATCAAAGTGAAATTTTTGCAGATAGACCATGCCTTCCTTTATTCATGAAGATGACAAAAATGGGAGGTATGTTTATTTTCACCTGTTTCATGATTTACTAAGTCATTTTCAATCACATTTCCTATTTTATGAATACCTTAGTACATGTTGTTTGAGTTCTGCTATACTGATTAATAGGAATTAAGATTATAGAACTTAATATTTGAGGAACTTCCAGAATGAACTGCAGTCATATTTTCAACTTCTATATGCTAATACTATTTTTGTCCTATTTAACACTATAAATAGTGTTTCAGAGAATTAGCATTTAATATATTTGTAAGTTTTGTGAAACAAGTTAGGAGTAGACTTAAGTGAACACACAATTGAATAAAAAGTGTCTTTTGAAATCACTCTTGAGTATTTGGTGAAATTTTTACTATCGTTTTGCTTATAAGCTTGTAGATCTTAAAGTACCCCTTTCTTAACTACTAATCAATAAAATGTAAATAATGTGGGGTTTGTATAAAGAACTAGGATTCTGTATGGTTTAATATTGATCAATGTCAGATGATTCTATATTCAACAAGAGAGAAAGGCTAAAAGGCAACAAAATTGGTGAGAAGAAAACAGCAACAGAAAGGCTAATAGATAATTGAAGTCAGATACAGTGCTTTTAAAACTTAATAGCATAAGAGTTTTTACAATAATGATGTCTAAAATTCTTCAATTTTGTGAGAGACTCACACTTAATTTTCAAGAAAAACTAATATTTTGCTTACATAGACTAAAAATAAAGACATTGATTGAAAAGAAATATAACTAAAATTAACCAAATATCAACTCACAAAGCAAACCAACTAACACATAGAAAACACCAGTTTTAAAGGTCAAATTCTTAGACCAGTGTATAATCATGCTTGAAAGCAGTGATGCAAAGTAAAAAACAAATCCAAACTCTTAACTATTCTTCTAATTTAATAGTAATTAGGCAAAGTAATTATACCACAATTGTAATATAAGACCTTTAAAGAAATTAGGAAAATAGAAATCTGGGCCACCATCAACCCACTATTTGAATGGGAAAAAGTTGCCCACGTATTGGGCTTAGCCTAACCATAATATAGTTTAGCCAGAGTAGGGTTATCACAAGGCTCCGCTATACTTTGTTGTACATGTAATGCACTAGCATAGATTTCTCTGGGATTTATTCTCTTCTCAGTACCTTTGCATTAACTTCCATCAACAGTGATCCTTCCCTGGATAGCTGTTTGACTTACATCCTCATTTTGGTACCTTCTCAGTGAGGTGTTCCCTGATCACCCTATATCTCCTTCCTTACTATATAATGTGTTGGTATCTCTTTACTGCTGTGTAAGGTCCATGAGAGTAGGGCCTCTTTTGTTCGCTGATATATCCTTGACACTTGAGCACTGCCTAGATTGTAGAAGCTACTTCCTGAATTAATGCTGAATGAGTATTGTTGAGCGAATGATCATCTGGGGGTGTAGAAAAGAGTGTAGACTATAAGAGCGTAGCATATGAGATTACTACATACCTCTAAAGACCACCTTATATATGGTTAACTTTTCAACTAACTCCGTACTAAAGCATTGTTGCATAAAAATTTTTGGAAGAAATTACATAGGTACCTGATATAAACAAGAATACATGGCATTTGTCATCAAAGTTAAATCTATGTGCCAGCTATCAATGAAATTTCAGGTGAAGTACATGTTATATAAAATATATGTCCTAAGATGGTGTCTTCTGCCTGATAGTTAATGGAAAAGAAAATATTCCATGGTAGCCACATCAGAACAGCAGAGTATATACTATGAAGACTCTGAAATTTAAGACAAGCAGTATTAACACTAGAAGTTTGAGCTGCATGTTTGCCCTTTGTCTTACCTTGAGCTGCTGCTACTTTAAAAATACCACAAACCAAAGAAAAAAACCACAAACTAAGTGGCTTAAATAACATACAATGCCCACAGTATTGGAGTCTGAGAAAACCAAGATTAAGGTGCTAGCAGATCTAGTGTCTGGGGAAAGCCTGCTTCTTGGCTTATAGAGAGCTACCTTCACCCCATGTTCTTTTGTGACTGAGAGCATCACTTTTCTCCATCTCTGCTTATAAGAGCACTAATCCCATTCATGATGTCCCTATCCTTAAGAACTAACTACATCTTAAAGGCTTCACCTCCTAATACCATCATATGGGGAATTAGACGTCAACATATGGATTGTGTGGGGACACAAACATTCAGTTCATAGTTTACTCTTTTTGGCTTGAGTATTTCCATTACATGGATACCTCTTTCAGGCCATGCTTGCATGCCTTTAATAAGAGGGCATCTGTTCACTTAAATCTTCTCTTAAAAGCAGAAAATTTCTAATCCTAGGATGATGATTTTTTAGGTGTTTAGTCCAAGATAAAATATTGACCATAGAATGTGCAGTCATTTGTCTTCTGTAAAGTAGGTTTATAATAAAAATGGGATTAGAAAGTCACTTGGGCGTAGTTCACCCAGGTTGGATTACACAAGGTTGTTGAGGTTCTTGTGATGGAAGTATTTCAGGTCTTTTCTGGATGTCTAAAATGAGAAGTAGATAAACTTTATTTGTTCATAATATTCTATTGCTGATGAGTAGCAGGTAGAACAAGATTAAGAATAAAGCTTAACCCAACAGGTCCAGTATTAATTTTATGGAAAGAAAATTTGGAAAAGAGTGACTAAACATGCTTATTTTTTTTTAACCCCACAGTTTTTTAGCTATAGATATGGGGATGTAGGAATGATAAAAATATTTTTAATACCTCTTTTTCTCCAGGCTTACTCAATTCCAGATATGGCCGAGGATGGGTTGATCACAGAAGGTTGGCTGTAAACAGCTTTCGCTATTTTGGATGTGGCCAAAAGTCTTTTGAATCTAAAATCTTAGAAGAAACCAAATTTTTCATCGATGCCATTGAAACATACAATGGTAGACCTTTTGACCTTAAACAGTTAACAACAAATGCTGTTTCAAACATAACCAATCTGATCATTTTTGGAGAACGATTCACTTATGAAGACACTGATTTTCAGCACATGATTGAGTTATTTAGTGAAAATGTGGAACTAGCTGCCAGTGCCTCGGTCTTCCTGTATAATGCCTTTCCGTGGATTGGCATCTTACCTTTTGGAAAACATCAACAGCTGTTTAGAAATGCAGCTGTGGTCTATGATTTTCTCTCCGGACTTATTGAAAAAGCTTCTGTAAACAGACAGCCTCAGTTACCTCAGCATTTTGTTGATGCTTATTTAGATGAGATGGATCAAGGTAAAAATGACCCATCATCTACTTTCTCCAAAGAAAACCTTATTTTCTCTGTGGGTGAACTCATCATTGCTGGAACCGAAACTACAACCAATGTGCTACGGTGGGCGATTCTTTTTATGGCCCTTTACCCTAACATTCAAGGTGAGGACTTCTTTGACCTCAACGTCTGTCTTTACATGTAGAGCTCACACATATTTTACTGTCTTTGACCAAGTACAGAATTTTTTTTAAAGATTTATTTGTTTATACATACAAGAGCTGCGGTACAGGCCAGAGATGTAGGGGGTGAGAGGATTCACCAGAGACAGAGCAGGGAACAAAACAGGCAGACTGACTGAAATACACTACTGAGGGGAGCAGCGGGGGAGACAGGAGAGGTCTGCCTCACCATGGGGGTTTTTCCCTGGCTGGCCGGGGATTGAACTCATGCTGCAGAGGCAGATTGCTTCATAGTGCAGTGCTTAATCCCTTGTGCCACCAGTGAGGCCCTACTTTTGTAATTTTTAATGTGTTTTTTACAACAAAGTTACTCAGAGCATTGGGGTACAGGTAGTACAAGATATATGGCATATATTTAAATCGAATTCCCAGATAATGAAAAATCTGAATCTGTGTGTATGCATACCCTGTTGACTTATTGTAGATTATCCTTTGTTTTATTCCAAAGAGAAATTACTTTAGATATAATTCTAAGAATTGCATAATAACTTGAGCACTTTTTCTCTGACAGGACAAGTTCAGAAAGAGATTGATTTAATTATGGGCCCAAGTGGGAAGCCTTCTTGGGACGACAAATGCAAAATGCCTTACACTGAGGCAGTTTTGCACGAAGTTTTAAGATTCTGTAATATTGTGCCATTAGGGATTTTCCATGCAACCTCTGAAGATGCAGTTGTACGTGGTTATACCATTCCTAAAGGCACAACAGTAATTACAAATCTTTATTCTGTACACTTTGATGAAAAATACTGGAGAAATCCAGAAATATTCTATCCTGAGCGATTTCTGGACAGCAGTGGATATTTTGCCAAGAAGGAAGCTTTGGTTCCTTTTTCTCTAGGTAAGAGAAATTTCCAGAGCATAATATAAGGACAAAGTATAATGTTGATTCATCATGTATAACATCTTAATCTTAAGCATTTGTGCTGTAGAATTAAATAATCCAACTCTGAAAACATAGTTTTGATTCTTTTAAGAGAGAATGACTTAGTTAGAGTTACTACTTGTATCAACTCAAAGTAAGAACTTATCAACTGCCGCGGACCAGCACAGCAGTGAATGATGAGGCCGTCTCAGGGTTGAGAGACTGCGCAGGGTGGTCAGGGATTCGGCTGAAGAAATGACAAACAGACACACTTCAAGAGAGAGTGTAAATCTGAGTGTGACTTTATTTAAGTTAGTTGCCAGTATATATACAGGAGCAGTGAATGGATTTAGCTTATTGCTGAGTGGTTTACATCTGGACCTAGCCTTTTTCTTAAGGAGATAATCCATTAGTTTTGTTTTTAAGCTATATGATTGTATTTTTTGTTTTACTAGCTACTTTTTCACTTAAACTATATTTTAATTATTACAGGGTTTAGTAACGTTTCATTTGAGTCAGGCTTGTATTAAGGATTTCATATGATTTTTTAATTAACAACAAATGACCTTTATAGAAGAAAGAAGGAAGTTTTAGAAAGACAATGAAGGGATAAAATTTGTAGTTCTAGAAAGACGAGATAAGGTTTTAGCTCCTGGTAGTCGTAATCCTTTGATAGGCTTCTGTCTTATCCATGTCTTCAGGGAACTTTGATGTACTCCCCTGCCTCGGGGAGTTTTTTGCTGTTCTCCCCCTGCTCGCTGGTTCCTTGCCCAGCCAGACCTAGGGATCTTGGTGATAGCCATTAGCCCTAAAGGTCACTGCAGGGGCAGGTGCAGCAATCAACTAAAGAGAAACTGTTAAGAAGCTCTGGCTTCATCTAAAGCTTTTTTGCTTGGGGATTTTTAACTTGTAATCAAAACTGATAGAACTCAAAGTCAGTAACAATAACATTATCAATTCCCAGAGAGGAGAGTGACATGTAATTTTAAGTAAAACTAGAGTCTATAGTTCTCACACTTTATTTTACTTTGGCTGCAAAAATGTTGCATCTGCTATGAAAAAGTACACAGATCACAGGAACTTATGGAAAATGAGTTCTTCTTCTTTCACTGGAGGATACACATTTAGTTCATTGAAATGAGCTTCTCCTGGATCTATAGAAAAAAAGTCACACCTCAAATTAGATCTTTCATGACATATCTTGGGCACTGTGGCAATATGCAAGGGAATTGGAGGATGGGACTATAAAGCTTAACAAAAGTCCATGGCTTGACTGACAGAAGAAGGTAAAGAAATGGGTCTGGGAGCTGGAGTGATAGTTTCTGTTCTTTGGGGTTTAAGAAAATCCTGTAATATGCATAGCTTCTAACTTTCTTTAAATACCAGATTTCATGAATGGAATCCGATTAGACATTAATTTTGATAAATATTGTGGACTTGTAGAAACTATGATGTCTGCTTTTTCTATTTAGGGAGAAGACATTGTCTTGGAGAACAGCTGGCTCGGATGGAAATGTTCCTGTTTTTTACAGCATTGCTTCAGCGGTTTTACTTGCATTTCCCTCATGAACTGGTTCCAAATCTGAAACCCAGGTTGGGAATGACGTTGCAACCTCAGCCCTACCTCATTTGTGCAGAAAGACGCTGAAAGTGCATGAATGTCTTGTGGAACAAGGTGATGTGTTTACCTTACCCCTGAACCTTATTTAATCTAATAGGTATATTATAATCTAATAAGTATGTTCAGACAAAACTCACAGCATCATAACTAAATTAAAACAGTGTGTCTTTAAAAACATATTAAGTCAGGGGCCTCCCTGGTGGTGCAAGGGGTTAAGACACAGCACTATGAAGCTATGCGCAGCCCCAGCCAGGGGGGTGACCCACATGGCACAGCAGACCTCTCCTGCTTTGCCCACTGCTCCCCTCAGCAGTGTATTTCAGTCAATCTGCCTATTCTGTTTCCCACTCTATCTCTGGTGAATCCTTTCACCACCCCACACCTCTGGCCTGTACACCAATTCTTGTATGCATAAATTAATAAATCTTATCTTAAGAGCCATGGATGCCCTAAGGGGGTCCTGACTTTTTAGCCAGTTGTTGAGCATCAGGTATCCCTTAGTCCTTGACTACATCTTGCCCCTGTCCAGGGAGGCTTTGCTTCCAGATGCAGGTGTTGTCATTAATAGATTTTGTGGTACTCGTTTGGTTTAATAACAGACTAAAGAAATTAGAAACCAAAATAAGTTTGGACAAAATGAGTTTGGACTACTGATGCACTTTATTCATGGTGATAAATGGCAGAAATATCTATATATTTAATGTAGAGCCTATCAGAGCTTTTAGATCTGGTTTCCTGATATGTCATCATAAGAATTATGCCATTTTTTCTATAAAAAGGGTCCTTATAACCTCTTGAGTATCCATTCTCATAGCAGTTCTGTAGATTAGAAATTACAATAATTTACTTAAAATGACACATGTCTATTAATTCTTTAAAGGCACAGATATTTCCACCAGTATCATTTTTTCCCAAAACTAGTCATAGGACTTAAAAAGTAAATTCTTTTATCTTTTAGAGATCTCTAGGTATTTCCTTGGAGTACTGTTTTATTTTTTAAAAAATAATATTCAGATCATAAGAACATGCTTTAGAGCGAGGGTAACTATATAAATTGGGGCACTTGAAAGTGAGAGGGTGCTATTAATCATTATGCCAGGGAAATAAGTACAAACCGTGACTGTCCTGAACAAATTGGTATTATATTCACCCATTTATAGTTATTTTACCTAAAGTTGTAAGTTAAGGGTTCATACTCTTATAACTTAGATCATGAATAATTTCAGCCTCAGACTAAATGCACATAATGGATTTGACCTTAATTTGACATCATCTGTTGAAGATTTTCACATTTCTGTGTAAGAAATCAGGATTCTTTACATCTTTGATATATTAAAATTTTCCAGTTGCAAGGGGAAAAAATCTTGTGCCAATTTACTTAAATAATAAAGAAGAGATTTACAAGTAGGGTGGCAGTTTTAGAGTTGGTATGAACTAGATGTATCATGCTGTATCAAAGATCCTGTTTCTTCCCATTCCTCAATTTTGCCTTTCAGATTATACCCACTTTATCTTAAGTCCAGCATAGAAGCACATGTGCTTTTCCCACCTTCATGTAAATAGAATGAGCTTGGACTGTTTCTAGAAGAGTATGGGAGCTTTTCAGATAGACCTCCAAAACTGCTCTTTGTGTCCCAGAGTTCCCTTAGCTATATACCCATTCATTAAAGCTATGTCTTGTGATTGAAATTTTGATTCATTTAGGCCTGACTACTAGAGCCCATGATGGAACTGACTTCCAAGTTGGGGGAAAGTTATAAACATGTAAGCAAAAAAAAAAAGGATAGCTATGAAGAAAAGAGGAAGTCCTGACAAAAAGACCAGTTACAATATCTGCCTCTGTCCTCTGACTACCTGCTCAGCCAAGAAACTTCAAGCTACCTCCCTGACTCTTGACAAATGAACTCATTCATGTTGTTCCTTGATATTTGCTCTTCCTTAGAGACAGAAAATCTCTCATTCATGTCCTTCCTGCTTACTATCATATCTCCTACAAGTGCCTAAGTTGAACTCAACAGACTGGGTTCTGGAGGATTCGTGAGGAAAACAACTTAGTTAATTGGAGTAAATTATAAGCAAAAATGGGAATCTTTATTTAGCTCTTGAATATTAGTAACACGATTACTTCTAGCATGGTTAAGAATTCCATAAGCCTATATAGAGTGCAGAATATGTTCTTTATTTCCTTTACCTTATATTTAAGAAAATGTTTACTTTTTTCCTTAAGTTAATGCCAGCATGGCAAAAATTATGAAAGATGTAGAAGAGTTTAATCTTATATAATATGCTTATTTTATAACCAAGGAAATAGGGGTCCTGACAGGGGAAGTGATTTCTCTAGTTCACAGCAGTAGCAGGATCCTTTTCATCCCACTTTCTTCTTACACCTAATAATTTACACTATGCTTTACAGTTTACAGGGTTGTTTTTCAAATATTGCCAACTCTTGAATTTATGGAACCAATTGACTATGGTAAAAATAAAATATTGCACTTTTGAAAAAATACAAATTAACATGAACTAGTAAGTAGTCCATGATGGAAAAGTATATATATATATATATATATAACCACATAGGAACAGACTGTATTAAATCTACTGCACTGAGAATACTTTCTCTCTCACCAGTCAATGGTGATCTACTGCTTAGATTGTTGGAAATCTAACTTGAGATGTATGAGGGTAACTGAGCATACATAATTCTCCTCAAAAGGCAATGAAATAACCAATAACCATGAGAATAGAAAATGGGATAAACACATTGAGAATGAGTGAATCAGAGACTTTCATGTTCTAAAATGTGGAAGATTAATGATATACTCGACAGAATTGCCTATGCAAGATTACTCATGCATAGACCTTGTAGAGAGAAGAGCCTCTTCACAAGATGGCTATGAATACAATCAGTAAATAAGGAGAGCAGTAGATAAGGAGAGAAAAACTGGAAAGTAATCAAGCTGATCGATTAAATCTTGGGTATAAACATCTGACCAGTTTGCCCTATTCCCGCTCTTTCTTCTTCTCTGTGCAGCTGTTGAACATGGGTCCCAGCGCTGAAGTAGAAATTGAAATAGAGTACTGTGCTTATGAGATAGTGGTGCACCTCCATAGGAATTGGTATCCTAGATTGGCAGAACCTTAATTTGATCTGACTTTGAACCTAAAGTTTTATATCATGAAGTGGAATTTATTCCTGGGATGCAAGGATGGTTCAGCATATGCAAATCAGCCAATATAATTCACTATATCCACTAACAGAAAGATAAAAATCATATGATCATATCATAGATGCAGAAAAGGCATTGTTAAGACTCAGCATTAATTTATGATAAAAATTCTTAGTATAATGGCAATAGAAGGCACATCTCAATATTATAAAGGTCGTGTATTACAAACCCACAGCTAGTATCATGCTCACTGGTGATAAATTGATAGCTTTCCCTCTAAGTTCAGGTACACTATGAGGATTTCCACTTCACTACTATTCAACATACTACTTGCAAGTGCTAGCTAGAGCAATTAGTGGGATACAGGTGAACCCATAACAAGCTAATAATGAATTACATGGCGAGGATTTAAAGGAATGAGGAACTCCAGAGAAATGAACATGGACTGGCACATTTATTTTCTCCCTAGCGTTGTGACTATGCTAAAAGAGGCAACTGAGAGACTCAGAAGTTAGACACAAGGCCTCCCCGGTGGCACAGCGGGTTGAGCGTCATGCTGTGAAGCTGTCTGCAGCCTCTGCAGTGCAGGTTCGATTCCTGGCCAGCCAGGAAGAAACCCACGTAGTGTGGCAGACCTCTCCTGCCTCGCCCACTGCTCCCCTCAGCAGTGTCTTTGGTCCGTCTGCCTGTTGTGCTCCCCACTCTGTCTCTGGTGAATCCTCTCACCCCCCTGCATCTCTGGCCTATACCCCAGCTCTTGTATGCATAAATAAATAAATCTTTAAAAAGTAAAATAAAACCTTGGCGCGCAGACCTCTCCTGCCGCCCGCTGCTCCCCTCAGCAGTGTACCTTGTCACTCTGCCTGTTCTGCTCTCCGCTCTGGCTCTGGTGAATTCTCTCACCCTCCTGCGCTTCTGACTGTACCCAGAATAAAATAAAAATAAATAAATAATAAATAAATAAATCTTTAAAAAAAAAAAAAAAAACCTTAGTGGTGGATTTTATAACAGATTGAAGACAGCTGAAATGTAGTGGCGGAACTACCTACAATTAAGCAGAGAGAAAAGAAATGAGAAAAAAGGGATGAAAAATGCGAAAAATATATATTGTGAGCAATATAGGGAATATGATGTGTAACTGAGAACCCAGAAAGGGAGAAATGAAAGAATGGGACAGAAATAATATTTGATAATCTAATGCCTGGGAATTTTCCAAAACTGTAAGACCAGGAATCCAGAGATTCAAGAAGCCTTGTGAATGCCATACAGGGGTGAGTAGGAAGAAGTTCCAATAACAATGACTGATAGCTAATTTCACAATGGAGACCACGGCAAGGCAGAAGAAAAAGACATGATGTCTTTAAATGCTAAAAGACAGTAGTTAACCTAGTATATTACACTCCGCGTTGATAACTTTGACAATCACTCGCCAGAAGGAAGAGACATTTCAGACAAGAAGTCAGCTAAGTGGCTGTATTTTGCAGAGGGAAGAGAGGATTGTGAGGGCCTCTAGGGAGCTAGCAGTGTTTACCATATAGCGGTATTTATAATCTATTTTGCTGCATATATTTCCACGTATATTCCACAGATATTAAAGTCTTTACCCATTGTACTAATTTTTAATATAAAAATAATTCATTTACAAATGATCTAAAGCTGATGAGCCTCTATTGCATGAATACTGAGTACTTTTCAAATACTGTGTGTAGTAATGATTAATGAAAAGTATGTGATACTATGATTCATTAGAAATACATTTACTTATTCAGATGACCAAAATACACTTCTCACATATATTTAGCTTTAGTTCATGGATCCTCGCTCAAGGTTCCCAAACACTTGGGAATTTCCTGAGGGATAAGAGCCATGGGAACATCCTTGGTTATGAGATTTATTCTCAAGTCATCCATTCCAGAAAACACTTCCAAGCCATGAAAGTGAAATGAGTGTCTTGTTATTCATAACAAGCTCCTTTCCACCACAACTGGGCTTTTTGTGGGACCCTCGCCCGGCAGCCAGGGAACAAACCGGTGCTGCAGAGGCTGCGGGCAGCCTTGCAGCCCAGCACTCAACTGCTGCGCCACCAGGGGAGGCCCTCAACTGGGCTTTTGTTAATGAGATAATTTTTGGAAAGTACCTAAGCTGGAGGGGGAAGGCGATAGCCTTGACAAATAACCCTGGAACAGGGTTGTAACGCAACCAACCCATTCCGGGTAGGTTTATTAATGGTTCTAGCAGCCACATGCTCTTTGCCATTGTTTGCAGTCGCCGTACTCCTCCATACACCCCACTGCACTCCTCCACCCGTGACACCGCACCACCACCACTCCGCACACTGCTGCGCCACCCTTATAAACCAGTTTCTTAGCCCAGGTGTACCGACCTACGCATGCCCACACCCTACTCCAGGTGCCCGCCATCAGGCATGCACTCAGGACTGCACGGTTCCATCATCCATCCTAATGGCAGGAGGGCAGAAAAGCCTGATACCTTTTACCTACCCTACAATGGTGTTGGAACTTTCAGTCCCACCCCCTGATTTGGGAGGAGGGAAAGGGACTTGAAGTTCAATAGTTCAATCAATCACCAATGCCTAATTATTTAATCAATCATGCCTGTGTAATTTAGCCTCGATAAAAACCCAAAAGGAGGGTGGGTGCTAGGACAGCTTCCCTTCCAGGTTGGTGAGCTAGAATGCTTGCCATGTGTCACCATGCAAGGCCCCAAATTCCATGAGGACACGCTCCTTTGTTCCAGACCTGCACTGTGTCTCCATGTTGGTTCATATCCTCTAATACTCTTTGTAATAAACCAGTAATCTAGTGAATATATGGATTTCCTGAGCTCTGTGAGCAACTCTTAACAAATTAGAATCCAAAGGGGGAAGGGGTGTGTAGGAGCCTCTGGCTAATAGTTGGTTGGTCAACAGTGTAGTCAACCACCTGGACTCACCACTGGCACTGTTACAGGGCAGGGAGAAGGGCACCCCAGAACCTCCACACCTGCCTGCTCTAAATAGATTCTGCCATCTGCCGCATCAAGACAAAACATATAGACCTTCAATGGAAAGGAACTTCAACACAATTAGTGTGCAATCCAGAAAAGCTACCCATGCCCAAAATTACCCATCCCCTCATGGGTAAAAGTCCACCCAAACAGGATTGACCCAGAACAAGACCCTGAAGCCTGCCCCAAGTTTAAAGCACCTTCTGGCGGGGACCCATAGATTGGGGTTGGAAACTGTCAGGCAAGTCTGAGAGGAAAAGAGCAAAATCAAAATCAAGATAAAAGCTGCCATTGTCACCTCCCCACAGGTCTCACCCACATCTGTGTCAACCAGTCCACGACCAAAAGGCAAACAGTTTCTTCACGTGTCTCTTGGCTCCGTGTGCCTCGTCCAGGTCTCCTTTCTCTCCATCCTGCTTCCTTCCATCTTCAGTTTCCTCTCCAGCTTCTTCTCTCTCCTCAGCTCCACCCTCCTTTGGGTGGGCCAGGAAACTGGAACCTCCCCTTTTCCTGGGCACCACCCTGTTACAGCACCTGAAGTCCAAAGAGAGGAGGTCATGGCTGGGGGGAAACCTCCAATCTGTAAGCTTTTGGTCAGTGACTGGCATTTGAAATAGAGGACAATCTTGTAGGACTGAGCCCATAACTCGTGAAATCTGTTGCTATCTTCAGGTAGGGAGGGTCAGATTATGTTAATTGTTGAGATACCCAGCTGGTATCAGAATCAATTGGTGGTGGTGGTGTGAAGAAACCACACACCCACACTGAAATTAGTACCAGAATCCACAGGTTTAATTATTTTTTAAATTTAATTAATTTATTTATGCATCAAGAACTGGGGTGTAGGCCAGAGGTACAGGGGGTGAGAGGATTCACCAGAGACAGAGTGGGGAGCAGAACAGGCAGATCTACTGAAATACACTGCTGAGGGGAGCAGCGGGCGAGACAGGAGAGGTCTGCTGCACCATGTAGTCAGCCAAGAATTGAGCTTATGCCTCACTGGCTGGCAATAGCTTGATAGCACTGAGACCTTAACCCCTGAGCCACCAAGGAGCCCCTGCAGGTTTACTTTTAAAAATACAACTTCAGGTCCTATTGCCTCCCCCCACCCCATAGTGTGTCTCTGGTTTATAGTTGCTTGTGATTTTGATTTTTACTTTATTATAATTAGTCTTTTTCCTGGTCCCTTATTTAGGTTTTCTAAATTCCTGCTATGAATGAGACCATCCGGTATTTTTCTTTTTCTTTCTGGCTTATTTCGCTGAGCATGATCCCTTCCAGTTCCATCCATGTTGCTGCAAATTGCATGAGTTTAACAAAACAAGGGGCGGGAATGGGAATTTTATGGGAACT